TTAATTTTAGCTGATAAAACAAGATGGTAGCTAATTTGAACAGTAACCATAATAGTATTTATAGAAAAGAGAGAACCTTTTGGCGATAGAACAGAAGCTTAGCAGCTAGAGCAGATCTTACAAAATCTACAATACAATTACAAAGAGAGGGAAAAGACATCAGCCCAAGGATCATTACAAAGAAAAAGAGTCACAAAAAGAGTCTCAATCAGCTTTAGGGTAGTAGTAAGTTGTGCAATGATAGGGTGAGTCTGAAAATGAAGTATGTGATAAAAGATTTAAAGGGATTATTGTATGGTCAGAACTACCTAAGGGAGAAAAAGGAGAAATTGAACACAAGTTAGGATCAGAGACCAGACATAAATCAAGGAGCGAAGGTAAATGACTAGGGTCAGGAAAACAAGTCAAAAAATTAAATATCTGAGTAGGAGATTGAGAAATACAGAAGTTATAGGTTTTAGTGCCAGCAGGGTCAGTGGTGTTAGAGCCAAGCCATTCAGTGTGATGGGCATTAAAATCACCAACAACAACAATATTGGCAGAGGGGTAAAGAGAGAGAGAGGTCAGTGGAGCCAAGCTGTTCAGTCTTGAGAAGAGGGAGAACAATAAAGAACAAAGAGAAAGGTAAGTGAGAGGAGCTAATTTCATGACAAATAGGTGAACTGATGCAAATGTATACGCTTAAGCCAAGCATGTGACTATTGGAGTCTTTGCGAATCAAAGGATAGCACCCATCAACATTGAGATTAGAAGAAGGAATTTAGATTAGTCTCACTAAGAGCAAACAAGTCTGGTAAATTTTGCGAGAGGTAAGATTCAATTGATGGAAGGTTGCTTCGCAGACCACGAATGTTAGTAAAAGATATATTAAAACAGTTAGGTGATGAGGATGATTTTACGTTTAATATTTTAATTTGCTTTTGGCATGTTCAAGTTTAAAAAGATCTTAACTCATTCATAGATAGAGCATAGCCTCACAAGCAATGAGGTACGCAATTTTCACAGTCCTATTAATTAAAGTCGTAAGATAGGGCTCCTTATTTGGACTTGACAATGCGCACCAAAAGCATTAAAGGGATCCCAAACTCCCAACACATGTTGTGTTCATATTAAAGATAATGTTAAAAAAAAAGGTTTGAACCAAATTTTTTTGATTAAAAATAAATAATGAATGCATACCGTGAAAAACAAATGTTGTTGTTTTTGCCGAAGCTCGTCTTCTCCATTTTTTTCAACTAATCGGAGTCTTCAAATTATGCGTCGCAATCTACAGACTTTGGCAATTCCTTTGAAGCGCGTTTAATTCATAAAAGTTTTAGTATTTGACGTCACGGTAGACTTTTAACAAAAGTAAAGTGTAATTAAACTAAGCTGCGTTTTTCTACTCTAGTATTTTTTTAACATACAGCAAAAGAAATTTATTTGCATTATTTTTCCAAACATCGCAAAAAAAATTTTGTAAAAAGTAAAAACAATAAACTATTTTTATTTTATAGGAGCAACTTATTTTTTACAGATATCTTAATAATTTTTAGATTTATATATCTTACTTATATTTCTTTAATTATTTTAATTAAAACAAATATTAAAGCTTTACTTACCAATCTCATGATTTTGATACGAGTATTTTACTTTATATAGAACGTTTTATATACGGTCTCTTGTTTTTGTGCAAGAAATACCATTTTATTTTACATTTGATTTTTGATAATGAAATTTTCAAAGTGTCACCAACTCTATACCAATTAGAACCTGTTGAGATTATGAAAAAAAAGTGCAAGAATACACTAAACAATACAGTTGACAGTAGTATCAGATATGAAAACTCGTGAAAGGATTTGTGAGATCCTGATTTTGCATTAAAAGTACAATTAATTGCAACACAAGTCGGCATTAGAAATTTTGATTATAAGTTTACTGTTCAATATTTTATAACCATCAAATAAAAAACATAAAGTTAGTATATTTTCGCCCGTTTTATACAACTAATATTTAAAAAAAATACGGACAAATTATTATTAAATAACGCAATAATTAACACATTAATTAAAGGCAATAATTCAAGATAGATGGTAATTTAGATTGTTAAAATGTCATAACGCGAATTAAAAAACATATTATATTTGGTATTTCCAAATTTGTGTCGTAATTGGTATTTATCTTTTAACATAAAAAATTAAAAAATTTTTAAAAACACAATTAACAAATACAAATTTTCAAGCAATTTTCTCTTCCAATTCTCACTTATTCAAAGAAAATTTATTATTAAACTTTTATTTCTCTCATCTAAAAAAAGAATGAGTGAAGTAAAAAAATATATATATTCTATACAACTCTTACTTATTCAAAGTTTAATTGCTTTTCTTTCTCTTTTGTTCTACTCTTTTATAAAAAGAGCGCCCGATGAAATAAAAACTTTTCTTTTTTAACATATAATTATAGTTTGAGATAAAATTAAATTAGAAATAAATCAACAATGAGCAAAGCAACGAACCGGTTAATCTGGAACTATTTTGATATTTATGAAAATAATCAACATAAGCAACATTGCCAACAACAATTATCAAATAAACAACACAATCTCAAATAATTTTAGGGGCATTTTATTTTTATTGCTTAGTCGTTCTAAATAATAAGTAAATTTAGTTCAAGTTAATAATTCAATATTTACAGTTGCAATAGAATAAAGAAATGGTGTTTAATACTGAACTTTTTATTTAGTTATTTATTTTTTTACCTACATTTGTTATAAAAAACTTTAGAACCCCCGTCATTAAAATAATTTGTTTTAAATATATATTGATTTACGTGAATATTCAAACTAATTTTTTTGGTTTGACTTTCCGAACTTCATGCAAAGCAAATTGAAACGAAATATCGTCTAACCAAATAAAAAAGCTGTTACTAATTTTATACGGGTAATTAATGTAAAACAATTTTTGAGATAATTCATATAGAAAGATATATAGAGAGAGATATTTCATATAGAGAGAGATAATTGATAAAAGATAAAAGATCTCTCATATAGAGAGAGATAATTCATAGAGAAATATTCATAATTTATAAACATTAAATATATGGCGCAATAACAATTTATAGCAACGAACCAGCATAAAATATTTAAGGTTTTTAATATCTTTTTAAATATTAAAAGTAGAAAAAAAAAAAAACTAAACAAATAATCAAAAAAACTTCGACTAAAAATAAATAAAAATATTTCTAGAGTTTAATTTATTAAAAGTCTACCGTGACGTCAAATACTAAAACTTTTATGAATTAAACGCGCTTCAAAGGAATTGCCAAAGTCTGTAGATTGCGACGCATAATTTGAAGACTCCGATTAGTTGAAAAAAATGGAGAAGACGAGCTTCGACAAAAACAACAACATTTGTTTTTCACGGTATGCATTCATTATTTATTTTTAATCAAAAAAATTTGGTTCAAACCTTTTTTTTTAATATTATCTTTAATATGAACACAACATGTGTTGGGAGTTTGGGATCCCTTTAACAGGGACACCATCCATGCGCACCATGACACTGTTAATACTATGATATTTTGCAAATGCTAATGGAATCAGCCTCTTTAAGAGCTACCACAGAGTTCAGGAAACCATACTACCAGACGGTCTCAGAACCATTATAATGAGTTTTAAAGCTGTACCCTCATTAGGAGATAATAAGAAGAGTAGCCACTTTAAAGGAGGCACAAGCAAAAACGTATGAGAAAAGTCAAGAAGATCCAGCATTCGTCATTTTAGGCATAAAACAATGTAACACAAGTTTACATCTACACCAGCCTAATAGATTAAGAAGAGGTTCGAGGCTGGTCAACAGAATTATTCTGCTTATCTCTAAAATTATTGCCTAGAAGGCCTCCTAAAAGACAGTAGCTGGATGCAGTTAACATCTTATAAGAGCATTTTTCTTGGATAATACTCATCATATAAAAATACTCATCATCAGATGAGTATTTTTATCGAGACATCATTTCTAGCTTTTACTCAACCAAGAGCCCCAAAGCAGGGGATTTTTAAGTCAGAGTTTGTTTCTCCTAGCCTTTGCCTGAAAAAGCACACTCTAAAAGCAGCAGGACATGGGGTAGGTGGTACTAGTAAGATAATACCAGTAGAAGGGTGATCATGATGATCCTGAACCTGACCTGGAGTAATTAAAAGAAGCTACTTCCTGCAAACAGCACTTTAAAGCATCAGGCATGACATTTTGGAAATGCATTAGGAAAAATACTACACCCAAAAAAATACTAGAGATAAGGTTGAGTATATGTTCAATAGCTGGAGTGTCTAGTTAGTTAATCAGCTCACACTGCATCAAAACAGACTTAAACATTTAAACCGAACATTTAATTACATAAAATAACTTACGAGTGAGTAAACACTTCGCCAGAGGTTCAGCTAGAACACAAACATACAGATAGCAACATATCGGCGATTCAACACCGCCACAATAAACACTTAAAACACATAAACACTGCGCCAGAAGTTCAGACTAAACACAAACATACAGATAGCAACTTACGGGTCAACACTACGGGTGAGTCAACACATCAACACTACGGGTGAGTCAACACTGCGCAAGAGGTTCAGACAGAACAAAAGATAAAACAAAAAACATAGAAAAATCAGAGTAAAAGCTCTTTGCAAATAGTTTAAAGTCCAAGATGGCTTCATATTGATTCAATTTGAAGAGAGCATTGACTTTAGCACCTTCAATATAAAGTAAAAATGTGTCTTTTATTATAGCTTAAATTAAAAGAGTGGTATTTAAAAGATACTGATCCTTGGCAGAGGTAATAAGATCAGATCCATGTATACATTTTACATCAATTTCTTGCAATAATAAATATATAATTGTTCTCCTGAGAGTTGTCCTCGTAAACTACTGAAAACTCGTAAACTTAGATTAAATATTTCAGTAGTTTACGAATAAATATTTATAAAAATACAATCATATACAAAATATTAATAAAACAATCTTTACTTTTTATTCGTTCCATTTTATTCCCATAAACCATGTCATAATTGTAAGCAGTTAAAAATCCTAATGGAATAATAGGTCCAATGAGTGAAGGTTTTTTAGTTCTTGCAAATCTTAAAAAAGTAAAGATACTATTTAACATTCAAAAATTTTTATATTCAGCATTATTTTATTATATAGAACAGATTTAGGTGTTAAAGACCACTTACTTAAAAAAAGTTGAAAGTGTTCACACAGTATACTAAAGTTCATTTCACTCTTATAAATATAAAACTAGAATCAACTTATTTTTCTATTTTAGACTACTAAATTTGCCTAAATGTTTTCAAAAACTGACAATAAAATAATAATAATAATAATAATAACAATAAGTAACATAAAACAACTTATATAAGTGCTTTTTCATTTTTCAAGACATTTTGACAAATTAAAACTCTATATTTGGGATTTTGTTATGACTACAGATTACTGCAATTCTAAAATAAAAGGATCTTTGACTCCTCACTAAATTTTCAAACTGAAGAAGTTGATTCTAAATTTTGACATCTTTATGGGATGGTACACTACTTAAATGATTACAATATGGTGGCCACAAAATTTTAAAACTTAAATTCCAGGACATTCCAAGACTTTATGTTGTATTTTTTTAGGGATATTTTTATATCCTATTAAACAAATATTAACTATCTTTTCATCAGATTTTTTCATATTTATTGAGTAATAAAATATTATGGTAATATGAGAACTTTGAATAATTTGGCTGTTAACTAAATCGACTGAAAAATTTAATAATAATAATAATAATAATATATATATAAATATATATAATATATAATATATATAATATATATATATATGATATATATAATATATATATATATATATATATAAAATATAATATATATATATGATATATATAATATATATATACAATATTTAATATATATATAATATATATATATATATATATATATATATATATATATATATATATATATATATATATATACATATATATATAGAAAGAAGTAATTGTTTGGGGTCTCTAATACATAAGTTGCCTCGTGTCTCACATTTTCTCTGATTTTAGAGAAAATGTGAGGCATGGGACAACTTATCTATTAAATGTGAGGCTTTGTATATATATATATATATATATATATATATATATATTATATATATATATATATATATATATATATATATATATATATATATATATATATATATATATATATATATATATATATATATATATATATATATATACATATATATATATATACATATATATATATATATATATATATATATATATATATATATATATATATATATATATATATATATATATATATATATATATATATATATATATATATATATATATATATATATATACATATAAAATTTTGAGCCAAAATTTGAAACAAATATTGCAAAAAAGCGAAATAGAAATATGATTTGGTTCAACCCTCCGTACAGCAAAAATGTATCCGTACAGAAAACAAGTATTGGAAAAGCGTTTTTAAAGTTAGTCGACAAACATTTCCCTCCCTCTAATAAATTGCACAAAATTTCTAACAGAAAGCCTATTAAGGTAAGCTATAGCTGTACAAAAAATATTGAAAGAATTATAAAAGGACACAATTTTGCATTGATTAATAAAAATCAATTTCTTAAAGAAAAAAATTCTGAAAATTGTAACTGCAAGCAAAAAATTGACTACCATATAAATGGCAAATGTTTATCAAAAAATAACATTTACAAATGCATTGTTTCCTGGCAAAACAACCCAGACCAACAATATATTGGCTTAACTGAGGGCAAAAAAAAATATAATATATATATATGATATATATAATATATATATACAATATTTAATATATATATAATATATATATATATATATATATATATATATATATATATATATATATATATATATACATATATATATAGAAAGAAGTAATTGTTTGGGGTCTCTAATACATAAGTTGCCTCGTGTCTCACATTTTCTCTGATTTTAGAGAAAATGTGAGGCATGGGACAACTTATCTATTAAATGTGAGGCTTTGTATATATATATATATATATATATATATATATATATATATATATATATATATATATATATATATATATATATATATATATATATATATATATATATATATATATATATATATATATATATATATATATATATATATATATATATATATATATATATATATATACATATATATATATATACATATATATATATATATATATATATATATATATTTATATATATATATATATATATATATATATATATATATATATATATATATATATATATATATATATATATATATATATATATACATATAAAATTTTGAGCCAAAATTTGAAACAAATATTGCAAAAAAGCGAAATAGAAATATGATTTGGTTCAACCCTCCGTACAGCAAAAATGTATCCGTACAGAAAACAAGTATTGGAAAAGCGTTTTTAAAGTTAGTCGACAAACATTTCCCTCCCTCTAATAAATTGCACAAAATTTCTAACAGAAAGCCTATTAAGGTAAGCTATAGCTGTACAAAAAATATTGAAAGAATTATAAAAGGACACAATTTTGCATTGATTAATAAAAATCAATTTCTTAAAGAAAAAAATTCTGAAAATTGTAACTGCAAGCAAAAAATTGACTACCATATAAATGGCAAATGTTTATCAAAAAATAACATTTACAAATGCATTGTTTCCTGGCAAAACAACCCAGACCAACAATATATTGGCTTAACTGAGGGCAAATGAAAAAAATGTTAAAATGTATACTATGTTTACAAGAAAAATTTGAAATTATTACTCATTTAGATCAAGAAAATTTACTAAATAAAAAATCTGAATTAATTTCTAAATGCAGAAATGAAAATAAGTTCTTTTTAAAAAGTTATAAAAATAAATGACCAGTTGAAAATTATCCTAATTCTAAAGAATTCTATTTATGATTTTATATATATATATATATATATATATATATATATATATATATATATATATATATATATATATATATATATATATATATATATATATATATATATATATATATATATATATATATATATATATATATATATATAATAGTTAAACAGAATTTTTTATTGAATTCATACTCTTTAAAGGAATTTAATGACTTTTCAATAACTCTTAATTCTGGTCAGTTTAGAGAATTTTCTGTTTTAGGCACAAATTTCACATTATTATTTTTATACCATTCCAAAGCTAGTTTACAATAACGAATTGAAGCTAAATCTGGCCAGAACACAGGTCTCTTATTGTGTAATTTAATTTGAGGTAAAAGGCGTTTTTGTAAACACTCTTCAACATATATTTAAATTGTGGACTGAGAAATATAAGGTGCTGATTTTTTGCCACAACTACAAATAGCTTGCCAAATCAAGATTTTTTTAGCAAACTTGTCATGTTTTATGTATTTAAATTATCTGCTTTTCCTCTACATTTGGCAATATAACAGACGGCACCAGGAATTTGCTGATAATTGTACTTGATATAAGTTTCATAATCTTCAATAATACAGAAATTTTTAGAAATAAAATTGTCATACAACTTTCTGCAGCGGGTTTTTGCACTTTTTTGTTGAGTTTCAGATCGGTTGGGCACTTTTTGTGCTTTGAAAGAATGAAAACCATGTTTATTTTGAACTTTTACAACAAAACTATGAGAAAGTCCATAAATGTTAGCGCTCTCTTAGTAAAAGGCTTGGGTTAGTCTTAAAACTGTTAACCAGTTTTTAACTAGTTTTTTTATCTTTAAAACCCTTCTTTCTTCCACCACCAGATTTACGTTTGATCAATTTTGTTTGAGAAAAACAATGGATTACACAACTAACGGTGTATGGATGTATTTGCAACACGTTTGCTACCGAATTGTAGCTACTATTGGGATTTTCCAAATATTTGTGCATAATTTTTTCTCTTATGTCTTCTACTTTTGTCATTTTTAAATTTTGTTTTAAGTTAAATCAAAAAACTAATACATTTTTTTGAAATTTTTTTTTGATTTTTTTTTTTTTAAAAAACAAAACGTTGTAAACAAAACAATTAAAAAAATTTGAATAAAACCATTGAAAAAAAAAAATGACGTACTTATTCTTTCACATTTGTTTCATGTACACACTTTATTCTTTTTAAACTTACAGTTGACAACTTTTTAACTTTTTTTTTCCACGTTTTAACTCAATTTCATATTGCGTTCATGAGGATTTTACAGGTTCTAAGATTTCTCTAGTAATTGGAATATCTGCAGCATTTTGTTGCTTTGATGGCATGTGACCCTTTACTATTCTTAAGGAATTAGAGAATCTTCACTTAAATTTTCAACTAAATAATCCTTATTTACTTTGAATTCATCTTAATGGATGCCTGGAATGAGACAAGCAAAATAAAATTATGCAGACAATCTAAAGAGATGTATATTTATTTACAGGTATATGTAGAACAAGAAAAATATCTAAATATGAAGATAGCTATCTTCATATATGTTGAATTACAAAAACTCTGTATCATGTTTATAAACAACATTTATTATAAATTCAAAATACTCTTTATTTGCTTGATCACCAACTTTTGATTTTTAATATCCAGAAGCCATTAATTTTTGTAATAATTTAGAAAACTTTAATTTAATACACTCTAGTTCTCCACTATCTACTAATTTAATAGGATCCAGATAAGATGAACACCTGACAATAAGATATTTTATGAGAGATTTTCGAACATGTGAGTTGTCAATAATCTTTTGTATTTTTGAACTTTCATAATGGCAGACAGACCAATATCAATTATATCTTCTCTTTTGTATAACACTGAATCTGATAGATTCAGCTTCATTAACTTTTTAATTGAATCAGATTTTTCTAATACATCATTAAAAACATATAGATAATGTTTACTAATATGCTTTTTAAAACGTCAAATAAAAATGGGACTACAGGGTGACAGAGGCGGACTGGCCAGGTGGGACAGTGGGAATAGTCCTACTGGGCCGATGTTCCAAAAATCGAGTTTAAAAAATTTGAGAAACCTGGCTAACGCAAAAA